TTAAGGAGGAATTTACTAAAGTTGATATGAGAGTCAAAAATTAAAAGAAATTTATAATTTTGGGGAAAATCTTTGGAGCAGTTCTAATCAGTATACCTCCCTCTTTGTAGGAAATAAAAGTGGATTCATGGTGAGAGAGCCTAACCCAATTTAACCTACATTTTCATTTCTTTTAGGTTTTTGGCAGCAAGTGGTTATAAGCTTTTATGGTTTAGAATAAGACCTCTTCTCTCTGAAGTTAATAAGGGCCCAGCTCTCAAGATAGATCTCACAGACTCCCTCGTCCATACCAGCTCTTTAGTTACCATATAGTAGAATCAAACACAGAGCTTTACTTTCTCAAACTAAGATGAACAAAAGTTGTCAATCTTCTCCTTTGCCCTATTCTCAAAACTCTAATTACCATCAGACCCTAGGGGGGTACTTCTCCTCACTCCACAATGTGTTTGTATTTTGGGTAATATCTATATCATAAGTCCATTTCACTATAAGATGTAACATGCCAATTCTGCTCTGCCCCAGTAACCTGCAGTCATGAGCATTTGGGTTTCAGAGTCAGCTAGACTTAGATAGTCATTTTCTTTAAGAGCCTGGCCTAATATCTTAAAGAGCTCTTAATTATAAGATTAATGTTTTTAAACATTCCGATAGCACCATTTATTACTTTACAGGGAATTACTCTATAGATTTTGCAATGTGTATTTCATGCCAATAGCATAAAGAGAACATGAAATACTCAAGAAGGGGACTTAGTTTCTCTCACCTGTAACACGTAGGCTGGTAGAAGGTACAATTGTCTTCATTTACAACAAACACCAAACTTACCAAATAGTGTGAACTTTAACTTGTACTTTTTCCATCATCTTTTCGCTTGGAAGTTTCCTCCTTTGCCTAGAAGGACAAGCAAAAACCATCAGTGAGCTTTTTATTTTCTGGATTAAGTACCCCAAACTGATCAAACAGAAGAGACTTATGAGGAAATAGGCTTTTCAGAATTAAAAGGGCAAAAATGGCAGTCAGCAGGGGAAAATAAGATGGTCCTTTTAAAGTATCTCATTTAGCCCATACACTGAATTCTTCCCCTTAAAGTTTATAAACTAAAAATAACCTTAAATGATTCTAAATTTTTTACTCTAGACTTTGTGGGTTTTTTTGTTTTTGAAGGCCAGCATAATTGAAGAAAAAAAATACATAGGTGTTCATGGATGGTATCCATTCGTTCCACAGCGATCCATCCTTCTCTTATACTTGGGGGCTTAGCCAGCAGCTAATCCACTCAGCATATAGGGTTACTGTGCTTTCTGTTTTTTGAGTATGTACTTTGTATTAAATAATAAATATTTAATCAGAGATATAATGGCATGAGCAACTAATTATCAATCTGGTTTCTTGTATCTTTCATGGATTTCACTTTTTTTGAGGTATAATTGACATATTAGTTTCAGGTGTATAACGTAAGCATTCCATATTTATAAATATTGTGGAATAACACAATAAATCTAGTTAAAATACATCACCATACATAGTTACAAAATTTTTGTGATGAGAACTTTAAAGATCTACTCTCTTAGCAACTTTCAAATATGCAATACAGTATTTATTGACTGTCATTACCATGCTTTACATAACAGTCCCATGACTTAAATACTTTAAGTTTGTACCTTTTGACTACCTTCACCAATTTCACCTACTCCCCCATCACTCACCTCTCTGGCAGCCACCAATCTATGAGCTCATGTTTTTGTTTTTAGATTCTACATATAAGTGAGATCATAGAGCTTTCATCTTTCTCTGACTTTTTTCACTTGCATAATGCAATCGAGGTCCATTGATGTTGTTGAAAAGGTAAGATTTCATTCTTTTTTATGGCTGAGTAATATTCCATTGGGTATATACACCATATATTTTTTATCCATCCATCAATGGACACTTAGGTTGTTTCCATAACTTAGCTATTGTAAATAATTCTGCCATGAACATGGGAATGCAGATATCTTTTCAAGTTATTTTTTTTTCAAAGATTTTTTTGATGTGGACCATTTTTAAAGTCTTTATTGAATTTGTTACAATATTGCTTCTGTTTTATGTTTTGGTTTGTTGGCCGTGAGGCATGTGGGATCTTAGCTCCCCAACTGGGGATTGAACCTGCCCCTGCTGCACTGGAAGGCAATGTCTTAACCACTGGACCACCAGGGAAGTTCCCAAGTTAGTTTTCATTTTCTTTTGATAAATACCCAGAAGTGGAATTCCTGGATTATATGGTAGTTCTAGTTTTAATTTTTTGAGGAATCCCATACTGTTTTCTATAGTGACTATACCAATTTACATTCCTACCAATAGTGCACTTTCCCTGATGATTAGTGATGTTGAGCACCTTTTCATATGCTTCTTGGCTATCTGGTACGTCTTCTTTGGAAAACTGCCTATTTAGATCCTCTGCCCGGTTTTTCATTTGGATTTTTTTTTGCTGTTGAGTTGTATTAGCTCTTTATATATTTTGGGTATCAATCTCTTATCAGATATATGATTTGCAAATATTTTCTCCCATTCAGTAGGTTGCCTTTTCATTTTGTTGATGTTTTCCTTTGCTGTGCAGAGCTTTTTCGTTTGATGTAGTTATACTTGTTTGTTTTTACTTTTGTGCTTTTGTTGCCTTTGCTTTTGGTGTCAAGTCCATAAAAATCTCTATTAAGACTGATGTCAAAGAGCTTACTGCCTATGTTTTCTTCTAGGAGTTTTATGGTTTCAGATCTTATATTCAAGTCTTTAACCCATTTTGAGTTAATTTTTGTGTATGGTTTGAGATAGAGGTCCAGTTCCCAACACTATTTATTGAAGAGACTGTCCTTTCCCCACTGTATATTCTTGGCTCCTTTATCATTAATTATTGACCATATTTCTGGGCTGTCTCTCTCTCTATCTTTTTTTTTTGGTTGTGCTATGCAGCTCTCAGGATCTTAGTTCCCTGACCAGAGATTGAACCCATGCCCTTGGCAGTGAAAGCGCAGAGTCCTAACCACTGGACCGCCAGGGAATTCTCAGGGTTCTCTATTCTGTTCCATTGATCTATGTGTCTGTTTTTATGCCAATACCATACTATTTTGATTACTATATCTTTGTAATATAGTTTGAAATTAGGGAGTATGATGCCTCTACCTTTTTCTTTTTCGAGATTGCTTTGGCTGTTTGGGGTCTTTGGTGGTTCCATACAAATTTTAGGGTTATTTTTTCTATTTCTATGAAAAATGTCACTGGAATACAGATAGGGATTGTACTGAATCTGTAGACTGCTTTGGGTAGTATGGACATTTTAACAATATTTTTTTCAGTCTATGAGCATGGAATAACTTTCTATTTATTTATGTCTTCTTCACTTTCTTTTATCACTGTCTTATAATTCCCATTGGATAGGTCTTTCACCTCAGTTAAATTTATTCTGAGGGTTTTTCATGCCATTATAAATGGCATATATGTGTTTATTTCTCCTTCTTATAGTTTGTTATTAGTGTCTAGAAAGAGTGTCTTACACTTTTACTGAATTTGTTTATTCTATCAGTTTTTGGTGGAGTCTTTTGGGTTTTCTTTATATAATATGTCAGTTTTGCAAATAGTGACAGTTTTAGTTCTTCCTTTCCAGTTTGAATGCTTTTAATTTCTTTTTCTTGCCTAACTGCTGTGGCTAGGACTTCCAATACTATGTTGAATAAGTGGCAAGAGTGGGTATCCTTGTCTTTTTCCTGTTCTTAAAGAAAACGTTTTCATCTTTTTACCGTTGAGTGTGATGATAGCTGTGGGTTTGTTATGTATGGCCCTTATTATGATGAGGTATGTTCCCTCTATATCCACTTTGTGGAGAGTTTTTACCATAAATGGATGTGGGTTTTCAGATCTTTTTCTGCATCTATTGAGATAATCATATGACTTTTATCCTTCATTTTGTTAATGTGGCGTATCATCACACTGACTGATTTGCGGATATTGAACCACCTTGCAGCCCTGGAATAAATGCTACTTGATCATGGTGTATGATTCTTCTAATGTACTGTCAAATTCAGTTTGCTAATATTTTGTTGAAGATTTTATACATATATTTTCATCAGGGATATTTGCCTGTAATTTTCTCTTCCGGTTCCCTGGGCTAGTTTTGGTAGCAGGATAATGGTGGCCTTGTAAAATGAGTTTGGAAGTATTCCCTCCTTTTCTGTTTTTGGAAGAGTTTGAGAAGGATTGGTTTTAAGTCTTCTTTAAATGTATGGTAGAGTTCACCAGTGAAGCTGTCTGATCCCAGACTTTTGTTTGCTGGGAGGTTTATGATTACCGATTCAATCTCCTTACTAGTAATGGTCTTTTCATGTGTTCTATTTCTTCATGATTCAGTCTTGGTAGGTGTATGTTTCTTTCTTCAAGGTGTCCAATATTTGGTGTATAATTGTTCATAGCAGTCTTTTATGATCCTTTTTATTTCTGTGGTATCAGTCTCCTTTTTCATTTGATTTTATCTGAGTCCTCTTATTTTTTTTTTCTTGTCAGTGTAGCTAAAGGTTTTCTGAACTTTATCTTTTCAAAAAAACAGCTCTTAGTTTTATTTATCTTTTCTATTGTCTTTTTAATCTCTTTCATCTAGTTCTGTTCTGATTTTTGTTATTTCCTTTCCTTTACTGATTTTGGGCTTCATTTGTTATTATTCTTCTAGTTCCTTGAGGTATAAAGTTAGGTTGTCTGATTTCTTGAGGTAGGCATTTATCACTCTAAACTTCCCTCCTAGAACTACTTCTTCTGGATCCCATAAATTTTGGTATATTGTTTTCATTTTCATTTGTCTCAAGGTATTTTTTTTTTTTTTTTTTTTTTTTTTGCGGTACGCGGGCCTCTCACTGTTGTGGCCTCTTCCATTGCAGAGCACAGGCTCCGGACGCGCAGGCTCAGCAGCCATGGCTCACAGGTCTAGCCGCTCCGCGGCATGTGGGATCTTCCCAGACCAGGGCATGAACCCATGTCCCCTGCATCAGCAGGCAGACTCTCAACCACTGTGGCACCAGGGAAGCCCTCGAGGTATTTTTAAATTTCTTTTTTGATTTCTTCTTTAACCCATTCATTGGTTGTTGAATAGCATATTGTTTATGAAATCCACATGTTTGTGAATTTTCCAGTTTTCTTCTTATAATTGATTTCTAGTTTCATACCATTGTAGTAAAAAGGATGCCTGATATGATGTCAGTCTTCTTAAATTTATTAAGAGTTGTTTTGTGGCCTAACATATGATATATCCTGGAGAACGTTCCATGTACATTTGAGGAAAATGTGTATTCTGTGGCTCTGGATCAAATGTTCTGTATATAGCTATTAAGTACAACTGCTATAACATGTCATTTAAGGCCAGTGTTTCCTTATTGATTTTCTGTCTGGATGATCTATCAGTTGATGAAAATGGGGTATTAAAGTCCCCTACCATTTCTCCCCTTAGATCTGTTAATATTTGCTTTATATATTTAGACATTCCTATGTTGGGTACATAAATATTTACAAATGTTAAATCCTCTTGTGCATCAACCCCTTTATCATTATTTAATGTTCTTCTTGTCTCTTATTACAGTTTTTGTTTTAAAGACTATTTTGTCTGATGTAAGTATAGCTGCCCCAGCTTTGTTTTGGTTTCCATATGCATGGAATATTTTTTCCATCTCTTCATTTTCAGTCTGTCCTTAAATTTGAAGTGAGTTCCTTGTAGGCAGCATATAGATGGTCTTGCTTTTTTATCCCTTCTGCCACTCTGTCTTTTGATTGAGGAATTTAGCCCATTTACTTTTAAAGTATTTATTAAGAAGTATGTACTTATTGCCATTTTGTTAATTATTTTCTGGCTGTTCTGTAGTTCCTTTGTTCCTTCTTCTCTTGCTCTCTTTTGTGATTTGATCATTTTCTATAGTAGTATGCTTAGGTTCCTTTGTCTTTCTCTCTTGTGTATCTACTATAGGTTTTTACTTTGTGGCTACCATAAGGCTTACATATAACAACTTAACATTTATATTTTAAGTCAATAACAAGTTATGTTTGAATGCTCTACATTTTTACTCCCCCACCCCCTATTTTATGTTTTTGATGTCCATTTTACATCTTTTAATCCTGTGTATCCCTTAATTAATTATTATAATTATAGTTATTTTTACTACTTTTGTCTTTTAGCCTTCATACTAGCTTTATAAGTGATTAATCCACCAGCTTTACAACATTAGATTATTCTGAATTTTACTGTATGTTAACCTTTACCAGTGAGATTTATACTTTGATATGTTTTCCTGTTACTAATTAGCACCCTTTCCAGCTTAAAGAAGTCTTATTTAGTGGTGATGAACTCCTTTAGTTTTTGCTTACTGGAAAAACTTGTTCTTTCCTTCAATTCTGAATGACTTTTCCAAGAAGAGTATTCTTGGAAGTTTTTTCTTTCAGCACTTTGAATATATCATGACACTCCTTTATGGCTTGCAAAGTTTCTGCTGAAAATCTGCTGAGAGTCTTGAGGGAGTTCCCTTGTATGTAAAAAGTTTTTTTTTTCTTGGTTCACTTAAGTTTCTCTCCTTGTCTTTAACTTTTGATATTTTAATTGTAATGTGTCTTTGATATGGGTGTCTTTGGGTTCTTATTTGGAAGCCTCTGGGCTTCCTGGATATGGTTGTCTGCCTTCCTCATGTTAGGAAAAGTTTTAGCCATATTTCTTCAAATAAGTTCTTTGTCCCTTTCTCTCTCACTTCTCCTTCTGGGACTCCTGTAATGCAGATGGTCATCTGTGTTGGTTTGTGTGATGTTGTCCCGTAAGTCCTTTCAGCTATCTTTACTTTTTTATTTCCATTTTTTTTCTTTTTGCTGCTTTGATTGGGTGAATCCCATTGCTTTGTCTTTGAGTTCACTGATCCTTTCTTCTGCTTCTTCTAGTCTGCTGTTAAACCCCTCTAGTGTGTTTTTCAGTTCAGTTATTGTATTTTTCAGCTCTGTGGCTTCTATTTGTTACTTTCTTGTATTTTCCTATCTCTTTGTTGAAGTTCTCACTGTGTTCATCCATTCCTCCCCCAAGTTTGGTGAGCAAATTTATGACTTATTTTGAACTCATCAGGTAAATCACTTCATTAAGATTTTTATCATGAGGTTTTAATCGTTTGGAACATACTCCTCTGTTTCTTCATTTTCCTTGACTCTCTGTGTTGGTTTCTGTGCATTAGATAAGACAACCACCTCTCCCAGTCTTAAAGGAGTGGCCTCATATAGGAGATGAACCTTACTGTTAAACCCTGCCCTAACTCTTGATCGTCTCTCAAAACATTGTAAGTGTTCAAGCTGCCTATTTTATTTTCAGTGGTTCACAGTAGTTGAGGGTGTGCTAAGATCTGTCAGTGTCCCAAAGGGGAGAATCTCAGCACCTAGATTCAGGCTGAATGGAAGCCAGTCCCTCAGGTAGCAGGTTTTAAAATATACAAATATATATAGTCTTGTAGGATGGACCACAAGCATAAGTCCTGCTGGCTACCAGAGCCAGGTGATCAGTAAGTGTCCCCTGGGTGGCAGTTACAAAAACTGGGCCTCTAGATGAGTGTATAAGCCCCCTTTCTGGAAGATGCTGGTGACCTGGAGCAAGGTGGAGAAACAGCACAAAGATGGTGAGCACCAGCTTACATTTCCTAAGAGCACATCCGTAGGTGTCTAGATGTGTGCCAAACCGGAAGCCTGTCCCTCAGGCCAAAGCTCCAGGACAAGCAAGTAGGCCTCTTACACAGAAAGACTGGGGGTATGTTTTAGTCTGCTGTCTGTGCAGTATTCTGGGGATGGTAGCCAGCCAAGAACTGTATCTCTGATTGCTTTGGGGTGGGCAGATGAGTCAGAGCTCACAAGCCCTTTAAGAACTGTTTCTCAGTTTGCTATAGGCTTGTGGGTCTTCTGGACACAAGCTCCGTGGGCTTTCAAAGCTAGATGTTTTAGGGGCTCATTTCTCAGGTGGTCTTTAAGGTTGCGTGCTGATGTGGGCTTCAATTTTTTTGATCTGCAGGGAGAAGCTCTGAGTTGTGAGTTCGCTCCTGATGGTCGGTTGCTGTGTTGGGGTGGAGTTTATGTTGAGACTGTGTCCTAGCCTCTCCTACCCTCTTTGATGCCAGCCTTCTCTCATTTGCCAGGTAAAGAGGAGTCACACAGATAATTTGGGGGTTTTTTTTCCTAGAGGAAATTGTCACATATGCAGCTGTAGATCTGGTGTTTCCATGGGACAAGGTGAGTTGAGGATCTTCTTTACATCACCATCTTGAACTGGAACTCACTATCTTGTTTTTTAAGAGTTTTGATTCAGCTGGACTATTGTTTTTAAACCTGTACCTTTTACTTCTCATTATACTTGGGATCATAGTCATAACCATTTGAATCCTATGTTTTTAGAATTGGAGGGGACCTAGAAGTTTTCTAATCCAATTTCCATTCCTTCCCTGGCCACAGTTTCAGTAATTTTAATAGGAAACTTCCAAGTGTTGTGCTGAATTAATGCCCAACTCTAAGAAACCAGACCCTATAACTTCTACTCATTAGTCTTAGTTTTGCTTTCGAGAGCAAAGTGAAAAATTAGATATCACCTGGGAGGAAAGACTACTCGTATTGAATGTGAGTAGATTGAATCACAGAAACTGTAAGATCTTCTCAATTTCATATACTACTTCCATGTTCCAAGATTCATATAAACCACATTCCCTGGTGGTGTCACCTCCCTTGCCACACACACACATACACACACTATTTTAACATGTCTTAATTTGCTGGTTGTTATGATGAATAACATCATAATCAAGTTGTTGACATTTTTTCTTAATGATATATAATGGTGATTTTTTTCTTAATGATGGTGATTTAGATCTGATGAAATGTAGTATATGGATCTGTACTGTCAATGTTTATCCAAGTGGAAATGTGGAGTAGGAAGTGGCAGTCTGGGTTTTGTACAGCTGAAGGTATAAAATAGATTCACCCATCCCAACATTCCCCGAAGTCTCAGTCCATTACAGCATCAACTCTGATGCCCAAGAGCATACCTGAGCGATCACGTAAACTAAGGATAGACAAGGTACCAGCGATAAAGCAACCAGCATGTCATTGCTGTTCTCGGGCAGAGCTCAAGAAGAGGAAGCAGGGTCATAGGCACAAATCTTGCGAGGAGGTGAAGGGATGGAGGGAAATAGGGCTTTTGAAGTTATGAAAGAATTTGAATATGTTTGTACTACAAGGGAAAAGAATTGAGACAAAGATACCGGAGAGTGTTATTGACCCCCTGAGAGAAAGAAGGGGCTGCAGGGCAAGAGGGGAGAGGGTTTGTTGGGAGGCAGGTAGGAAGGGGATCTTGGTTATTTTCTGCAAGGCAGTCTCAATTTTCTCTTTGAAGTAGAAGGCAAGGCTATCTGCACACAGTGAGGGAAAGTAGCTACGAGAGAGCATGAGGTTTGTGGGGTCTGATGAAGGAGAGAGGGCCTGCACTCATTCCAGACTAGCACAGCTGACAGTGGGACTTTGTGTGACAAGGGCTAGGAATGCAGGAAACTTCAATCGTGTTAAGAATGTTCACTCAGATTTCTAAAGTGTCAGTTACTTTAAAAATTAAATGTCTCTAAAACTTCAATTTCTTTACCAAGACATGCTAGGGGACAGATAGTATTTATTCTCAATAGATCCCAATCAGAAACTAAATGACTAGGGATACACCACTCGATGTCATTGCCAAGCTAATTTGTAGTCTACTTACGCTTCTTACCTTTGCAGAATCCTTTGCTTCACCCCCGTTCTTGGGTGCTTTGGAGCTGGAAGCAGGCTTCTTGTCTTTGTCCTAAAGCAAAGGAAATGTAATGAGGCTCCTGCTATCAACACTCCATCTAGCAATTAACTGCTGCTGCTATCAAATCAATCCAGACTATTCTTTTTAGTAGCCTGGAATCTCCAATTTAATTAAATAACGGAAAATTGAGTATTTTAGTCAAGATTTTTCGAACAACACTGAAAGTACACAGAGGTGTTCAAGGTGGCGGGTAAAAAGGATAAAAATGAGGAAAAGGTGAGTCACACTGATGATGCTCTGCCAATTTCCATGATGCCTGGTTCACCCGGACTATATTTTGCTCACCAAAACAGCTTGTTTCTATCAATCAGGATTGGTTTTTATGTGCCAACAGGACACTGTTTGTTTTCAGTGTTATGGAAGAGAATGTAACAACCAGAGAGAGCTAGGGCAAGTCATATACAAAAAGAAAGTCCATTCACCAGAAAGGCATTATTTATGAAGTTCCAGGAGTGAGAGATAGGATGCTGACGTGGTCTAGAAATTAAATCACCCAAGATGGGGAAGACTGACAATTCAGTGATTGATTGATTGGGAGATATGTTTAATAACAGCCAAAACAATAGCAAAGAGATGTGCAATTTTAATTCTTCTGAAATAACAATGAAGGGCACTCATTTCACTTTTCCCTCTATTTGATGGATTACACATTTTTTCATTCGCTTTTGATCATGTTTTAAGCACCTGCTATGCACCAGGCATTTTGCTAGTGCTGAGCACAGAGGTACCAGACACATCACTGCAGTATACAGCATGCAGCTCAGCGGTGTGATGCACATGTGACAGGTAACCCACAGTGCAGAGAGGGCACATAGGCAACATCCCTGATCTGCGAAGGGAGAAGCAGACAGGGGAGTCTTCCAGGAGAAGCTGATGTTTGAACTGGGCCCTGAGAGGTGAGTAGGAGAGTCAGCCAGCTGCTCCGGGCAGAAAAGGGGAGGAAGCCCCAGAGGGCAAGGGGCATGGTATATAGTGAGGGACTGCTCTCATTTTAAATGAACACAGATAAAGCATTACTGTTGTACAACAATATAGTGTGGCAATCAAAAATGGTAGCTATGGAGATTATAAAGCAACATGGAAAACATTTATGAAATAATGTTAAGCAATGTATTATATGTGGACAATAAGTACAACTATGTAAAATATACATATGGAAAAAGGTAAGAAATATACCAAATAATAGTGTTTGTGGAGTAGCAGAATTATAGAATTTTTTTCTTTTCAAGTTCTCGATGGCATTAACCAGTCTATTTTACAATATAAAATTATATATATGTATTATATACATATATGTGTGTGTGTGTGTATACATAGACATTCAAAGAAAGTCAATATGAAAGAGCACAGTACCTTTGCTGTGTTCTCTGAGGTTTCTGTAGTTGAGGGACAGCTGTCAAAGTCCCCTGAGAGGGCATCAATGGGGTCTTGGGCATCTGCAGCTTTCTGAGATTTTTAACAGAAATAACCATCAGGGAAGAAGCACAAGGCAAAGATGCTACGTAGGACATTTCCCCACATCCCTGAAAATATGTTTGTTTAATAGAAAACCTTGCTGACATTCTTTTCCTAACAGACTAGTGTATTACAAAAGAGATATTTTAAAACAGGAAAATCTTGCCAGCTCTATTTCCTTCTACTGTTTTACACAAGTTGCTTAGTATTCTCTGAGCTTTGATTTTCTAACCTGGAAAATGGAACTGCCTAGCTTGAATGGACTTGGGAAGACAGAAATAATACACTCTTACACACATGCCTTGGCATCCCACCAAGCACAAGGTAGGCATTCAGTGAATTTCAGATTTCTAAAATGTAAAAGTCGCAGCTAGAGTTTAAAAAAATCTTTTTTATGGAAATACGCGGATACGGTATTTACCTTTGATGCCTCGGGTTTCTTTGTAGGTGGCGTCGCTGATTTGCCCTTAGAAACAAAGCAGACTCCTGGTTAAACAAATTTTTGTAAAGGTTTACTTAGGTGTAGTCAGTATTTATATAATCTCTTATCCAGTGACTTGAAATGGAGTTCAGTCAGCCCCCTGCATCTGTGGATTCTGCATTGGCAGATTCAACCAACTGGCAGATCGAAAATATTTAGGGAAATAAAATTCTAGAAAGTTCCAAAAAGCAAAATTTGAATTTTCCACATGCTGGCAACTACTTACACGGCACTTACATTGTACTAGGTATTCTAAGTAATCTAGAGATGACTTAAAGTACAGAGGAGAATGTGTGTAGGGTTACATGGAAATACTATGCCATTTTATATAAGCGACTTGAGCATCCTCAGACATTGGTATCTGGGGGTCCTGGAACTAATGCCCCGTGGACACCAAGGGACGACTGTATAGATTTGCATAACTGATAAACCTGTGTCCCTATCATTTCTTCACCAGCTTTGCTTAACGACTACCCTATAACCTGTGTCCCTATCATTTCTTCACCAGCTTTGCTTAACGACTACCCTATAACTATTTCAGTAGCCTTGGAGAAAATGCAAGGGTGAGTCTTTTCCTAGAAGTGGAAGAAACACTATTTTAGCAACTTTGTCATTGTATAATTCTAGTTAAACTGTTACAAAAAGTAACTTGTGTTTTTATGTCTTATTTACTAATTTACTATATGCTTATTACACTTGGAAAGGAATGGTCTATAGATAGATGTTTTTCGGTGAAGATTACAAGGACAACTCATCAGGGATTTTTCCCATCTGCAAAGGCAAGGCTACTAAATAATACATTTCCTAAAGAATACAGCAGAGTCACATGCGACTATCAAAGCAGGGAGGATTCTAGCAGGATGCACAGCTGCTATTGTGAATACTCGACACAAGCACGGAGAACAGATTCCTGTAACAGAAGACACTGCAGCTGATAATATTCTGTAAACCACAGCCATCAAACCCCTCACGTGCATCAGTACAGAATGAGAAAGATGTAATTTACACTTCCTTGTTTTTTATTGGATGAACAGACCTGGAAAGGGTTATTTAACATCTAATGGACTTGCAACTAAGAGCCAAATAGGAAGGGGTAGGGTACAGACCAGGTTGACCTAAGCGAAACTGGCTTCCACGTTAGAGACAAAGACAGAGACTTCTTGACGGAGTGCATTTAGATAGAGAAATAGGACTTGTGACTGGGAATATGGCTTTGTCTCTCTTCACTCTCAACAGCACAGGTGGTGTTGTAGGAGAAGAAAGAGGGACAGCAGGTCTTGGAGGGGTCGTATTTGCCCTATGAATTATTCCGATACTAGCTCTTTTTCTGTTCTCCTTCAACAGAGAAACTCTGCTTCAGTCAAGATTACAAATATCATTCTTTTTATAGCCTTTTCTTGCAAGGAGAATTCATATATGTACATGCCACAGAATCACTGTTAAGCATCAGTGAGTGAATGAACATTATTCAACTCTCTATGCCACAGTGCCCAGCGCAGTAAACGTCCAACAATACTGGCTCAAATAAATATTAAACAGCCTGCTCAGTGGGGACAGATTAAAAACATCAGTCATGTTACATTTTTATGCTATTGTTACAGTGTACCTCCTGTTCATTTCAAGTGAGGTGTGAATCTCAAACGCTTTGGAGCGTATATCCATCTAACCTAGACATTGCCCTCATTTACCTCCTTGTCATCATCCAAGAGATGTTGATATTTAGGTGGGATGGTGTCATCCCTTTCTCCCAGCTTGTCTCTGTGTTCAGCTTTCACTTTTTCCTGTAAACAGTGAACGTATATAATTACGATTCAGTTCCGCCTTCACTTACAGAGTACATTCTAAAATGCAGCATTCAGCATTTACTGGACTTTTCTGAGGCAAAAAAATAGGGTCTCTTTTAAATTTGTAAGCGAGAGAACAACAATGTCAACAGACTTTCAGTTGATGGAAACAAGTAAACCCAGTGCTTCTGTTTGTCAATCCACACCTATTAATTTTCTACCTGTATTTTAAATGGAAGTAAATGATTAAATAATTATCTTCAGAAACCATGGAAGGAGATAAAAACCCACAGTTATGAAATATCTTTCACTGTTTCACTTTTTAAATAAAAAAATCAAGTTGCTGTACCTTGGCACTTAAGAGGTACTATTTACAACTTTGCCTCTTTATAAGGAGCCCTGAAGGACCACGACAGGAGCAAATCTGAAGGGACGTGCTGTTTGTTTGTGTTGCAGGTGAGCAAATACCTGCTGTTGAGTAAGCAGTACCCACCTCCCAGCATCCGTGCCTCAGTGGGACGTGGCTGGTCTCTCGGTCCTGGATTCAGGAACAGCTCCCCACCCCAGGGGTGGGGTACAGATTTTATTTTTCTGCATCATTATAATTTCATTTTTCAAATACAGGTTAAGTTCACCTCGATATTCCTATGACAATGGTAGAATTGAGACCTAAGGATTCTTTGAAATGTCCTGTCTTTGAGACATAGATTTGTGTGGGACGTTACCTTTCTGGTTCCAAGCTAAATGGACCGTTAATAAGTACACTTCTACATGTTGTACAAGATATATATAGCATTAAGAGTCTGCACCTTGTGGACACCTCTGTGGTGCTGAACTCCTGGTCCAATGCAGTTAGTTTCGATAGCAGGGACGACTGCTAGGGAAGCCTCTGCCACTACATTTACACAACCTGTGAACCTAGAAAATGCACATGTGTGCATCAGATATGTATGATAAACTTACTGCCAGATACAACCAAGAAAAAATGTGGGAAGAGAATAAAATTAACAAAGCAGGGCTGGCTTTTCCATCATCACAAAGTCTAGCCTCATGAACAGGACGTTTGCCTGAATCTGTGCCATAGCACAGACCTCAGAGAGGAAAGAGACACGACATAGACCATGGAGTAGGAAAAAATTAGGCTGAAGTTATCCAACCGTTCACTGACTCCAGGCAAAGTCAGAGGCTGAAGTTACCCAACCGTTCACTGACTCCAGGCAAAGTCAGAGGCTGAAGTTATCCAACCGTTCACTGACTCCAGGCAAAGTCAGAGCGGGTTTTCCCCTTTGTGTGGAGGGTAGGGTATTCTGTGCTATAATAACTTTCAATTTTCACTTATTAATGATTTGTTTTTCTTTTACCTTGACTTTATCCTCTAGGGGTTTGTTCTCATCTGCATCAGGCTGTCTTTGCCCGAGACTGTCAGAAAGTTGATCCAGGGCATCGTCAAGTTCTTTATCGTCACTCTGCTAAAAAGTAAATCTGAATCAGTCACTGGTTAGCCAAATGAGGTCACCTGTTGGAGTGCAGCCCTGACACTGCCACTAAGACTTCTATAAGCTTATGGGGTTGTCACCAGGGAGATGGGCAGGTGGGCAGAGGCGCTGGATCGGCAATCCTTGCTTGGTTTTTCTTCTCCCTCATCTTTCACTCTCAGCACTTGTCTGCACCTGTCTACCCTGCCCCACCCCTGGATGTCCTTCTCTTCTGAGAAAATAGGTCCCTCCCTAAAAAGATGGGGTTCCTGGCCTGATTTTTCTAGAAAATATGTCTTATGATGCTTTCAATATATGTAACAGTATGTTCCCAGCAAAGAAAAGTCACATGAATTATGATAGCTTAGTTTACTCTTTGATTCCCAAGTGTATTCCTGTAAAGAAAGATTTATACCTAGTTTTAATGATATCGTCAAACAAAATATTAACTAACACTAGAAACTCTGATGGGAAAAGTGATGGTAAAGGTGTCATTCTAAAACATACCTGTGAAAGGCAAAAAGGCTTTTGATTGTGGACGTTTATTAATAGCCTCAATCACAGGGGCCCCTAGAATCTGAGTATTAAGAATTGAAGTGTAGGGCTTCCCTGGTGGTGCAGTGGTTGAGAGTCCGCCTGCCGATGCAGGGGACACGGGTTCGTGCCCCGGTCTGGGAAGATCCCACATGCCGCGGAGCGGCTGGGCCCGTGAGCCATGGCCGCTGAGCCTGCGCGTCCGGAGCCTGTGCTCCGCAACGGGAGAGGCCACACAGTGAGAGACCCGCGTACCGCAAAAAAAAAAAAAAGAATTGAAGTGTAAATGGCAGCCTTCCTTTCTGTTGCACAGGGACTTCTGTCATTGTGGCTGTGTGTACATACACAGACACACACACAGACACATGGAGAGAGGGCATTTTACTGGTTTTAAGTGCTTCATTAGAGCCCAGGATTATAGCAGCTAATAATGGTGCTACCCACAGCTGGGTCTGGGCTTTGTCATTTGTGCCTCTGGATATTCTCAGATGATCCCACATTAACCCAACAGGATGAAAATTCACTCAGAATCTCAGAGTACAGCACTAAGTAAGCTTTGATGCTTCATCAAAAGGAAAGGAAGCATAGCTGACTTCACTAAAGCTACTTCATCTCCAACTAGCAAACGGGGCACTTCTTCTCAACCAAGGAGATGGGGATCTGGTTTAGGGCCATCTCTTTATCTTTTGATGTGCCATGGTCTCCTGGATAATGTATAATTTGGTACTGCAAAGAAAATCAATCAAGGAAGTCTGGAAAAGCTTTGGTCCCACAGTCTTACATGTAAATAATTAAAACAATATTGACACTAAGGTTCTTCTATTACTAGCATGAAAATGACAAGTTTTTACTGGTGTGAATGGGAGGAAGACAATGCTATTCCATGAGGAGTTTGTGAATTTTGGGGGCAGAGAGAAGCTCAAACACTGAGCAATTCCTTAAAGTAAGCTTGAGGTTAAATAATGAGTAGTATTATAGCATGGATCAGGAAAAATATAAAGGAGGAGAACATCAATTATCAGGAAAGCTAAATAATTTTTAAAAATCTAATAATCTGAACATATACACAATGCACATTATTGTACTTCAATTCTAATAAAGCAACAATAATATTAAGCTCCTTCACTGTGTGTAAAATACTTTCACATACATTGTTTTATATACTTAATCATTTTAGATATTCTCTGTCATCTCCCTGTCTCACCAGTCTTACCTCTTCTGAAACGGAAGGTGCCTGTTCTTCCTAACAATTTTGTTGATTTTCATTTACTCTGAGGAGGAGTCCTATTTTCTTTCTCCTTGTTGTTGCTGCTGAAAAAAGTACTCATAAACTCTGTTGCTTACCGGAGTGTCTGGGGGTGGACCTGCAGAGTGGGTGGTTGGAGCTGGGGTTTGGGAAACCACTTCAGAGATGACAGCTGAAAGTTTAGCATCTTCCAATTGCTTTTGTAAGAAAACAAACAAAAAAAGATTTTGACCGGTAATATGGTGTATGCAAATTATGCCCACATACCATCTCTTAAATACAACTCTCAGTATAGCTTTTTGATTGTTTTTCTCTTGATCCAAATGGAAGCACAGCAACACAGCATCTTAAGAGCCATTTTTATTCTACATCCTATTCCACACATGATTTTATACAATTTCCTATTCCCATTTATTATCCTAAACGTTCAACAAGCCACTGATTTAGAGTACTGTAGTTTATACATTTCTTGTTGCACGTTTAGGTTGTTTGGAGTTTTCAGCTTTCTTCTCTGTAATTAATTGCTCTGAATAAGTTCTAGAAGTGGCTCTTTTTATGGTGCTAGCTATATTCTGCCAAGTGCCCTCTCAAAGTTGCTAGAAATTCACAGTGCCACAAGCAACGAATGGCCATGCCTGTTTCCCATGGCCTTGCTTGCCTAAATTAGAGATTTATCACATTTTAATTCTGATCATGTATTAGGTATAAAATTATGTGCTACTATTGCTTTAATACTTGGTATATGGGATGAAGAAGCTTCAGTTGTATCATTTTTTTCTTAATGTTAAATGGTATATTATTCTAGAATCTTTCTGAAATAATGATTTCTTTTCTCATTTTAAAGAAACACTGAATCTGTCATTTGTGTTCATTTCTGGATTTCTTTCCCATTGGCCTGTGGCTTCACTTTCTGAATCAGAACTGTATTTTTTGTCATTACTGTTAATAAATCCCGGTGTTTAGTTGGGTTAATCTTCCCTAAAAATACTGAAAAATGCTTTTCAGTATTTTTTCATATTTTTATGCATTTATTTTTCAAATGTATTGGACAACTCAATTTTAAATTCTCTTTTCATAGGTATACGTGATAGAGTGCATGCTCATTGGTTCAATTAGTTACACGGTCGAAAACATCCACTGTGCTGGACCAATATTTCAAATGGAACACATTTTTTACAGCTACAGTGGGTTGAGGGCCATTAATTTTGTGATTGTTTCCTCAGCTCCCACATCAGGTTCTAAGTCACAAGTTTCCATTTATTTCTGCTACCCTAAAAGTACGGAAATAAAACCAGGAATCTCAGAAGACTTACAAGAGATGAAGTGCTTGGGGGAACGGCGAAGTCCTTGGACAAAGCATCAAGGAGGAAGTCTTCACTCAAGGGCTGCAAAGAACCAGGAAATGTATCAACAAACACCACCTCATCAGTCTCTTCAAAATGTTGTCACTGTTTATATGCTGATCAACTCATTCCACAGAAAGCTATGCCCTCCCCGCATTAACCATCAGGGCCAAAGGAGAGAGATACACTCAGAGAAAACTGGCTTGCTTACTGGGAGTGGTTCCTTGGGCTCCTTTGGCAGTAGTGGTTTTCCATCTTTATCCTATGCAGGGGGACAGAAACATGGCACTGAGTCATTTCACGTGTATCCTACGTATGCACCTTGTAAACATTATAAGAGGTCGACAGGTTATACCTGATGATATTGTACATTACAAATTTGATTCATCATTTCAGGAAATAGATTCTCTCACCAGGAAATATCCTCTGATTAGCTCATGTCAACAAACAGCTGGCACACATCGGGCATTCCCTAGGCACGGGGGCTGCAAACGGATAGAGCGTGGCTTGCCAACCTCAGAAGCCCACACTACTGTAGGGGGAGCACGTGAACAGTTAATGTAGTGCGTGGCACGTGGGGCTGTGACAGTGTGCACAGGACACTGAGGGAGCACGGGGATGAGACCCTCACCTGCCTGGGGAGTGGGCTTTGCACAAGTTGCCTTGAAAAAGCTGGTTAACTGTAGAGGCAGCACATCCTGAATTACCTCTGCGCCAAGCCCTCTACTAAGCACCGGGAATACCACAGAAAGTAGGACAGACAAATCCCTGCCCTCAGGGAGCTCACCCTGAGGCTCAGATGATGCCAACCTTCAAATGACTCTGAGTGCCACTTCTGAGTAACAGGACAAAATCGCTAAAGCATTTGGGGCTCTTTAGTAAAAGAAGATTTATAAATAAATGGTAAATCCCATGTATCTACACACGCAAAGAGAAGTGCAAGATTCTCTCTTTAAACACACAGTTAACCCCTTGGAAGACACAGGGGTTAGGGGCACGGACCTCCCAAGCAGTCAAAAATCTGTGTATAATTTATACTCGGCCGTCTGTATCTGTGGTTCTGCATCCATGAATTCAACCAACTGCAGAAGGTATAGTGCTGTAGTGTTACTACTGAAAAAAATCCGAATATAAGTGGACCCACACAATTCAAACCTGTGTTGCTCCAGGGTCAACCGTGTACTTCTCCTGATAAACTGGTCAAGGTGTTTTTTGTTTTGTTAAAATTCAAGGAGATGCAATGGTTGAGAGTATCACCAGCTTCCCTTTTGACAAACTCCTTTACCCCCATTTCCACCTCCTCTGCACGTTCACATATACCTTCTGACCACTGTTCAGTGAGGAGGGAAACAGCCTGAGGCTTGCTCTCCACCATCCTTTAGCTGCAAAGGCAGCACATTTCCCAAGTGACGCACAGGAGCAGGGGCGAGGGCACGTCTGCTCCACGCTCAAACTGAGATCATCCCATGTCTGGAAGGGGGAACCTGTGGTCTACCCTCAGGGAGCTGAATCTATTGAAGAGGCCTGATGGGAGCAGAGCTGAAGAAGAACAACATAGGATTTAAACAAGAGATCAAGCCAGCACCTGGAAATGCTATAAAGCTACAGGTAAGTAGCAATGGGTGGGATCAACAAGTTCAGAGAAGGATGAAACTACCGCGGAACAGAGCGGTCGGGAAAGCTCATGAGCTGCATTCTTAAAAACTGCAGCAAAAGGAGAGAGAAAGTGGCCAACCTCCTACTCTGAAGAGAGTTACGGGCACCTGACCCGCCTTTTTTCAAATG